ATATACTATGTATAAAATAAATTAAAAAGGGGAAGGAGGAAATATCTTTGTATATGCTTCAAATTAACACAGACCAGTAGTTCCATAAATGAACATTTTACCATCTCTATGGTAAAAAGTTGACATAAAAGTTCAAAACCATACCATACTTATAAATAGAAAGAGTTCAAAAGATATTTTTTTAAAAAATGGAATTTAAACATCATTTTCCCTTCCCCTACAATACACTTCAGTTTTGTATGTCATAGCATCAATACATTTACAGAGTATTTGAATGTCACATCCACGCAAGAATTGATAACAAAGCAGGTAAAAGTGCTAGCAGTATTAAAATTTAGGACTTCTCCCAAATAACTCTACCTGCTCCTCAGCCTTCTCCTGAAATGAAGGCTGTCAACATTCATCACCCAGTTTGAGGTATGGGCAGAAGAAAAATCCGCAACTGGTACTCCCCGCCCCGCCTTGCCTCTGCTAAATTACAGCAACAATCTATTGATCTGGTAATTGACAATGGTGGTGCACAATCTTTTACCTCCATTCAGCTTGTATATAACTTAATCACTATATAAAAAAAAGTTATTTTGAAACATAGTATTAATTCTTAGCTTAAAAAAAAAAACAAAAAACCACCCAACTTTAAATCTTCTTTGAAACCATGTTTAAATGTTCTTGTTCCAGATTTAAAGCTTCACATAAACACCAGACAGAAGGATGACAATTTTAAACCAAGAGAGCACCTAAAAACATACCATAGGTAAAAATGAAATCAATCATCTCTCCACTTCATAAAAATGTAGAAACCCTGTCAGCAACAGTAGTACACTCAGAATGAACAAGGTGGAAAGGAGCATCTAGAATGCTCAAGAGGCTTGCTATGCTACTTCTCTTTATTGCCCATTCTCTCATTTGTATGGATGGCCACTGCATGACAAGATGCCTGTGATAGTTCTCTTATCTTCCTTTCACCACTGCTGCCAGCTGAAGTCGTCATTGCTGCCAAAGACCAAGAAAAATCCTAGGATCGTGGCAAAGATGACTGTATTCCCCGTAAGAACAAGTGCACACGCGCCCCAGTAAATCTGCGAACAAGGGGAATTTAGTTAGACACGTTTTGAACTGAATACTGACAAGACAAAAGGTAACGTCTTAATGTCACATTCTACACAAAGTTCAGCAACAGGTCCATGATGCAAGAAGGTGGTATCTCATGATTTGTGGTTAAGCCAAGAAGGGTGGGTTTACCCAAAATGACTCGACCCATTCACAGTTAGCCAAGCAGCACTGCAAGTTTCTTCCAGCCGTGTTCAAAGCGCTGGCTGTTTTGCTGTAACATCCAAAAATGGTAAAGTACGGCTAGGCAACAGCATCAAACACATCTGCAGCCCAGCTATACTTGCTAACCACGCTATAAGACTTTTTAAAATAGACATTTAAGGGCGCAGCTCTTCAAAATGCCAGCAGATATCCCAGTAACAAAAAAGGAGGTGAATGTTTTCCAAGGAGAGTAAGTGGATTACTCAAAGGGTGTGAGGCATTCAAACTGACCGTCTAAGCTGTTCTCGCCCAAAGAGATTTTATGAAAGTGCACTCCATGTTTTTTGACTTAGGAGTGCTCTCTGAAATTCACACAAGCAAGGTCATCTTTTAAAGGATTTTAGCAAAAAGCCGTATACTGGGAAAGATGTAATGACAACGTGCAAGTTTAAAAAATAACACCACATATAATTTACAGTGAGTGCAAAAATGCCTTGTTTATTCATGCTTCTTTAGCCCAACTATTCCACAAATTGCCTTCAAAGTATTCTGTACACTTTTATATTTGGTTACTTGCCTGTCACGTTTTCACACTATTTTCTATCTCGTTTTCTCTGCATTGCATATAGGCTGTTAGGGTTTATTCCATGACCACATGAAGCAACTGGCAATCACGACATTCTGCCATGCTTCCGTTTCTAGTATTAGTTTTTCTTGCCAAAAGAACTCTTCTTCTGTTTCCACTGCAAGCATCTTAAGCACGTATTTGTAAGAGTTGCTTAGTGCATGAGAGCTTTACCTTCAGTAAAAAAACCATAAAGAACAAAGTTTTCTAGCAAAAAAAGAATATCATAGATTGAAATATTACTAACCAGTTCTGCTCTTGCAAACACTATCGGTAGCCCAAATGCTGAGACAACAATGCCTGTCGTAAGAAATATTGCTAGCTCCTTGCAGGCATTACTTGTAGCATCTGTGTCATCTACTAATCTTCTTGCTATGCAGTACGGGATAGGAGAAAGGATGTAGAAAAACAGAACAAACAGTGGCCAGTACTGGCTGAAAAAGAAAGGAAAAGAAAAGCTAAAGTTACCTTGATTTACTTCCCGTTCTTCCCAAAATCAATGCAAGGCATTTTCCCCATCCAGCATCCACATTCGGGAAAGACAGACACAAGCCCAGAGAAAGCAAATCCTTCGCTTTGGAACAAGCTGACATTAATCCAACAGACCATGTTTGTGAGTGGGTTCAGCTGACCTCAACGGCAGCAGCAGAGAAATCACTAACGGGATATTTGTAAAGCAAGATTTCACTAAGCAAGCCTAAATCTAACGCCACCTGACAAGGTGAGCTTAACTCTTAAGTTTAACCTGTCAGCTTTACTTAAGAATTCTTAAGTAAAAAAGCAGAGATACCTTTCTAGAGCCCTCACGTCATTTTGCCTGTAAGCTTTCAGTGCACAGACATGGAACAGAGTACTGTTCTTAGCCAATACTCAGCTGCCATGGGCCACCGAGACTTGTTTTTTTTTTTAAATCTGAACGCAACCAACAAAACCTACAAAAATTACAGCATCATATTTGACAACGTTTTCTTTTATTGCTTGCAGCTCACCAGACTAGATTTCTCGGACACACCAATGCAGCTGCACATTGTTTCAATAAAACTTTTCTGCAGCTTGAAGGGTGACTGCATGATGATCTGCTTCCTAAGGGTTTGTGTCACCAGCCCTGGTTTTACAACAAAAGCAAGCTGGCATAAGAAAGCTAGTCATATATGTAGAGAACTGCAATTCACAACCACTAACAGGACTATTTGATATTTATTTAACGTTAAATAAGTTGATTTAAAAGATTTTCTGTAAAGTCAGCATTCACTTGCAAAGGGTGAAAGCCATACGCCTAACTTGCTGAACTTTTGGTCTACTACTTCATATCTCCTGGAAACTAAGAGATAGGAATCAATGGACCGAAAGTACAGACAGCAGCTGCAGTTATTCCAGACGCTGCATTACCAGGTGCGGTACACAGCCCCCATAGTCACCGACAGCCCAGCTGCTACTAAGTAGCCAGAGAAAACGCAAACGCTTCCCCGATAACGCACACTGGCTGTCTACTTCAGGAGGTGCCATCTGCTCTCCAGCCACAGAGGATCAATGTTGGAGACATGTTAGGACAGTGCATTCTGAAACAGTTTGTAGCCAGACCGGGTAATTTAAAGTTTGTTGCCTTCGCTTTTATGGTGAATTAACTCCCGGATGGTCTTTTTTCCCATCCCAATCTTTTGAAGCCAAAAAACCCACCCAAAACCCCTCCCACACACAGAGGACTTAACAGTCCATCATCCTGAAAGCCAAACTATTCTGGAGTCACCGACATACAGAAAAAAAGGAAGAAGAGTGCACGTTACTTGTACTGGGGAAGGGCACATCCGAGCATCAAGAACATGAGTCCGACAGCTCCCCCAAAGGACAGGCTAATCAAGGCTGCAAGGAGAACACAAATCGACAACAGGTGAAGGGCTCGCACGCTGTACAAACGCCGACCACCACCTTCAAGTAAGCGCGGCCGAGTCTCCGC